GACATTTTACCTCTACTTTCATCCTGCTTTTCTTTTTTTTAATAAAGATTTCATGATCAGCAACCCAATGGAAAATATAATATTGTTCCATGTTCACTTTTTCTTCACTATGCTTTTATTTGTCCATAAGAAATACAATTTTTTCTCTCTCTGCTATTCCTTTTTTCAGCCCCTTCCTTTTCCTTTCATTTGATATGTCTTTAGTCTACTACATAGAGGAAACCTTCTAGCAGGATGAAAGCATAATTTTGTGAAAAGGTAGATATTTACCACCATTGGTATGATTTCTGTTCTTTGGAAGTAAAGACCATGCTTGAGCCCATTCCTCTCCTAGTGGGTTTGAACTGGCTGCTGTTCTCTTACTGAATGTCAACATCAGTCACCGTCTTTGTCCTTTCTAATGGGATAGTTTTTAAAGTCATATGATCATAAAATTAGCTTCTCAGTCTTGATCCTGTAAAAGTAAATTAAGGTTTGAACGATATAAGATAGTTTAAATATTCTAATGCCCTGAATTGCTGTTTGTTTCATAATATGTTTGCCTTGTTTCCTCAGCTGTATATTGAGTTCATTCACAGCAGGTTGGCTTTTAAATTTCCTTTTGTATCCTGTTTTGACTAGTAGTGCTGAGTCTTACTAATAAGTATAATAATAGATACTGAAACTTTTCATAGCTCTGCATCTGAGAAAGACATTGTTGAAGACATCATATTTCACCTCTAAAGATTTCAGTATGAATCTTCTAAAAATAGAACATTTTACATAACTACAATAACCATCATCACACATAAGAAAATTAATAAATCCTTAATTTCACCAAAGTTTCAGTCTATATTCAAATGCTCCCAGTGTCCCATAAATGTTTTTGTAGATTTTTTTTCCCTGAACTAGGATCTTACCAAGATTCAGACATTACATTCGGTTGTTCCAGCTCTTTAGTCTTTCTTTGTCTCTCTCTCTCTCTCTTTTTTTTAATCTAAATGTTTCTCTCCCCTTTTGGGTGATTTTTCAAATCTGCTCATTCCTTCTACATTTATTAACTGGCTTCTTTTTAGGCAGGAGTAGGGTGGAGGGGTAAAGAAAAACTTCGCTTTGACTGAGTGCTAAATAATTTAATATGTAAACAAATGGATAGGTGAATTTAAGAGCTAATTGCAGAAGCAGTACTTACATAAATCCTACATTTAAACTGAAAGGTATGTTGTTGAAAGAAAAACCTCCAAGAAAAGCAAAAGGCTATACAAGACAGAAAATGTAAAGATGTCCAGGTTCTCAATAAATAATATTTATATAGTCACAATATTATAAACATGACTGACTTTCAGTCAACCTTGATAGCTTAAAAATAGTTTAAAAATTAATATAATAGTTATCAACTTTCATGGTAGAGTTTAGAAGGTAGAAGGTATAAAGGGGAGAAGTGAAGGGAAAGATAGAAGTCCTAGTATCAAGGGAGATATTGTCTGTAGTTGATGAAATAAGAAGTATAGGGGTATAAGTATATTAATTAAAGTTATAAAGAGGTTATGTAGAGGAACTAAAAATAATGATGTAACTCTACTGTAATTTGGGGGCAGGAGAATGGACTATCATCCTCATCTATTATAATAGGAAGTCAACACATTGTCTAAAATTTGATATCTTAAGAAATGATGATGTTAATTTCTACAACTAATATCTGTCCCTAGGATAATACCATAGTCTTAATTACACTAACATTAAATAGTAAGCCTTGAAATTAGGTAGTATAAGTCCTTCAGCCTTGTTCTATTTAAGGATGGCTTTGATTGTTCTAGGTCTTTTACTTTTCCAAAGTCCTGCAAAGATTTTTACTGGGACTACTTTGAATCTGTAAATAAATTTGGGAGGAATTGGCATCTTAACAATAATGAGTTTTCCAATCCATGAACATGGTGTCATTCTTCATTTATTTAGGCCTTCTTTAATTTCCCTTTGCAGAAGTTTTCAGCATACAGGTTTTGTAGATCTTCAGTTAAATTTAATCCTAAAAGAAGATGTGGTACACACACACACACACACACACACACACACACACAATGGAATACTACTTATCCATAAAAAAAAAAGATGAAATCTTGCCATTTGTGACAACATGGATGGAGGGCATTGCGCTAAATGAAGTAAGTCAGAGAAAGACAAGACCTTATGATTTTACTCATATTGTGGAATATAAACAAATAAAAACAAAATAAATGAACAAACCAAACAAAAACAAACATGTTGATAATAGAGAACAAAGTAGTGGTTACCAGAGAGGAAGGGGCTGGGAGGAGAGGTGGTCGTGAAATAGCTGAAGGGAATTAGTTGTATGGTGATGGATGGAAACTAAATTTTTGGTGATGAGTACACACTGTAGTGTATACAGAAGCAGAAATATAATGTACACGTGAAACATATAATGTTATAAACCAATGTTACCTCAATAAAAGATAAAATTTTAAAAGTTAATCCTAAGTATTTTTTTGCTATTATAAATTAACTTGGTTTCTTTATTTTCTAATTATTTGTTGGTAATATATAGAAACATATTTGCCTTTTGTATATTGACCTTGTAGTCTGTGACCTAATTTCACTTATTAGTTCTAAAAGTTGTTTTGTAGATTTCTTGGGATTATCCATGTATAGGGTCATATTATATGCAAATAAAGACTGTTTTTCTTCTCCCTTTCCATTCTTTATGTCTTCCCTTTTTCTTACATCATGACCCTAACTATACCCCCCAGTATAATAATGAATTGAAGTGGTAAGAACAGAAATCCTTGCTTTGTTCCTGATCTTGGGTAGAGAACAGGTCTTTCACCCTTGAGTATTATGTTACTTATAGATTTTTGTAGATGCCTATAAGCAGATTTAGGATGTTCCCTTGTAGTTCTATTTTGTTGGGGGCTTTTATCATAAATGGATGTTGATTTTTTTTGCGGCTATTAAAATATTTATATGGTTTTCTCCTTTCTTAATATGGTGACTTATACTAATTGACTCCTGGGTGCTTGAATCAACCTTGAATTCCTGGAATCAACTCCACTTGGTTATGATTATTATCCTTTTCATATATTATTGGGTTGAATTCCCTAAAATTTTGTTAAGAAATTTTGCATCCATATTTGAACATTAGAAATATTAGTCTGTAGTTCTGCTTTTTTGTCTGGGTTTGGGAATTAGGGTTACATTGGCCTGAACACACGATTTGGGAAGCATACCCTCCTTCTCTATTTCTAAAAGATTCCAAGTAAGATTGTTATTTCAACAGTTCATAATGAAGCAGTCTAGACCTGGAGGGATTTTTTTTCTGCAAAGGTTTATGAATTTGATGTTTTTAATTGATACAGGGGTGTTCAAATTTTCTATTTTTTTAGTCAGTTTTTCTCATTTGTTATCTTTCAAGGAAATTTTTCCATTTCATCTAGGTTGTCAAATGTATTGGCATAAAGTTGTGCATAATGTTGCCTACTCTCTTAATGTCTCTAGATTCTGTAGTGATATTCCCCTCTTATTTTGATTTTGGTAGTACACATTTTTCTTTATCAGTTTATCCTAGAGGCTTATCAGTTTTATTGACTATTTCATTGAATCAGCTTTCATGATTTCTTTGTTGTTTTAGTTTCTATTACATTGATTTCTGTTCTTCTTTCCTTCTACTTTGGGGTTTCTAGGTTTTTAAGGAAGGAACTGAGATCACTAATTTTAGAATTTTTTTCCTGATATAAGTATTTAAAGCTATAAATTTTTTCTAAACACTGTTTTAGTTGCATCCCACAAGTTTTGATAGATTGTATTTTCATCATCATTCCACTCAGAATATTTTTTTAATATAAATTTATTGTTTTATGGCTGTGTTGGGTCTTGGTTGCTGCACGCGGGCTTTCTCTAGTTGTGGCGAGCAGGGGCTACTCTTCATTGCGGTGCAGGGGCTTCTCATTGCGGTGGCTTCTCTTGTTGCAGAGCACAGGCTTCAGTAGTTGTAGCACACGGGCTCAGCAGTTGTGGCTCGCAAGCTCAGTAGTTGTGGCATACGGGCTTAGTTGCTCCACAGCATGTGGAATCTTCCCGGACCAGTGCTCGAACCTGTGTCCCCTGCATTGGGAGGTGGATTCTCAACCACCACGCCACCAGGGAAGTCCCCAGAATATTTTTTAATTTCCCTTCTGATTTCTCCTTTGACCATGAATTACTTAAAGTGTGTTGTTTTACTTTCCAAATGTTTGGGGTTTTTCGAGTTTTCTTATTGTTAATTGATTGCTAATTTAATTCCATTCAAAGAACGTATCTTGGATTTCAGTCTTTTTAAATGTATCACTGCTTGTTTTATGACCATAGCACATCCTGGTGGACTTACCATGTGTACCTGAAAAGAATGTGTATTCTGGCATTGTTAGGTATAGTGTTCTATAAATGTCATTTAAGTCAAGGTTGATCACGTTCAGATCGTCTGTGTCTTCGTCTGTTTTTTCTAGTTATATTGGTTGCTGAGAGAAGGATGGAGAAACAGGTATACCTCTAATAGCAGGTCTGGTAAAGTATTAATTGCAAAGGGACATGCATTCAAGTCAAGGAGAATTTGTTACTGTATTTTATAACCTACCACACGGTTCATTTTAATTATTGTTTGTGCTTTTGTATATTTTTAAAATTTTCTGTAATAAAACCTTAAAAACCAAATCATCTTTGGTAATGATGTCAGAGTTTAGGGAGTGCATGCCACATGCTATACCAGATGTAGGAAAAATATTTAGGATTTCTATTTGTTTATTTTCACCTCATCATTTAAAAGGTTCGATGGCACAAATGTGCAGTCTGAGCATATCTTAATTTATATTGTCACAATAAAAGATTTCCTCCCTCCTTTATTAGTCTGTAATAATAATAACCATGGTATAAAAGTCAGCGTCAACTGTAGTGCTCTCCATGTGTTAAGTGTTTTCTCACTCCACTCCTGTGAACCCATTGAATCTGTTTTCACTTTTTTATCTTTATCAAAGGTTGAATTAATAAAGGGGAATTTACAAAGTGTCGGACTTACACTTCGTCTTGTCCAGTCAACTGATGGGTATGCTGGGCACGTCATAATTGAGACCGTGGCCCCAAACTCGCCTGCTGCAATTGCTGATCTTCAGCGGGGAGATCGACTGATTGCTATTGGAGGTAATTATGCTGATGTGCAATATACCTGACATTTACAAAGAAAACCAGAGAACAGATGTGGGGGTTTTTCCTCTCTTCTTTATTTCTTTTTTTTTATTTTTTATTTTTGGCTGTGTTGGGTCTTCATGGCTGCGTGCGGGCTTTCTCTAGTTACAGCGAGTGGGGTCTGCTCTTCGTTGCGGTGTGTGGTCTTCTCATTGCAGTGGCTTCTCTTGTTGTGGAGCATGGGCTCTAGGCACGCAGGCTCAGTAGTTGTGGCTCATGGGCTCTAGAGCACAGGTTCAGTAGTTTTGGCACATGGGCTTAGTTGCTCCGCGGCATGTGGGATCTTCCCAGGCCAGGGCTTGAACCTGGGCATGTCCCCTGCAATGGCAGGTGGATTCTTAACAACTGCGCCACCAGGGAAGTCCCTCTTCCTTCTTTATTTCTATAAGCACATTACTTTTACAATGGAAAGAAAGTAATAACTATACTATAAATAAAAATGTGAAGGAAGCCTTAAAAAATTTAAAACATGTCATTTTAGTTCTAATTATAAATCTTGAAAATATTTCATCTTTAGACCATTTTCCTCCTTCTACTTCTATTTTTTTTTTTTAATTGAATGTGAAAGAAAGGGCAGGTCAATAGTTATCTTTCTGTGTGGCCACCACCATTACTACTCTGAGCCTAAAACTGACAATGTTAGCACTACTGCCCCCATCACTTAGGACTAGATAATTAACTGGAGAGAGATTCTTTGTCTAAGAGGGCATACCTGAACTGTCCTGTGGCCCCATATTGGTTGCCCCTTATTGTTCCTGACTGGCCAGCCATTTGTTAATAGATTGTCATTCAGAGTGCAGCCCAAATCATTGTCACTGGCAGAAAAATGTGTCACCTGCATGGCTTCCTATCAGTTGGATTGATAACACAACAAAAACTCTCTATTGTTAGGCAGATTATTTGCTTGCATGTTTAGAAATAAGCAGTAAGACTCACTGTGGACATCAGTGGGGGAAAAGTCCAAACCTTTTCAGACCTTTGTAGTACCTGGCCCACCCATTCTAGGCTTGTCAAGAGACTTCTTGAGCCCATGGTTGGTTACAATTGAGCTTTTAAAGGCAACATGGAATATTCTCTCACAGCTAAAACAATAAATAACAAGGTAAATTAGTTCCTAAATTAAGGAGCAGTTGTCTTTGGTTATATGTTGAAGAAACTCTACCTTTAATTCATATCCATCATGACAATAAAATCATGAAAATTATTTAATTGCATACCTGGAAGCCCCACTAAGTCAATATTTCACATGGAAATCCCTCTGACTGTCATAAACAGTGCTTTTCAAACTCTCTTGTGTATTCCAATCACCCAGGCATGGTGTTAAAATGTGGATTCTGATTCAGTAGACCTGGGGTGGTGCTCCAGGTTCTGTATTTCTAACAGGCTCCCAGATGATGATATTGGTTCATAGACACTTAGGATAATAAGGCTATAAAATAAACCTCATCTGTTACGTAGTTATTTAACATAAACGTAACAGTTATCCCTCAGCTAAAAATCGTAATTCAGTATGAATTTTTTATATATATACATATACCCTGTTTGGTTTTACCTACAGCATGAAATTGTTTTCTTTTTTACGTCCTTTTATGAAAGATTTTTGTTTTCAATTATACAAGTAGTAAATATCTGTTATCAAAAATAAATAAATAAATCCAAGCAATATAAATACAGGCAGGGTGGAAAAGCAAAAGTCATCTCTTCGTGTCTAACATTTGTAAAAATAATATTCATTGAGATAACGGGAGGGTATGATACACATTCTTTTTTTTATAGCTATACTTTATTTGTATGGGTATACAACATTTAAAAAACATTTAGTAGGCTTCCCTAGTGGCGCAGTGGTTGAGAGTCCGCCTGCCGATGCAGGGGACACGGGTTTGTGCCCCAGTCCGGGAAGATCCCACATGCCGCAGAGCGGCTGGGCCTGTGAGCCATGGCCGCTGAGCCTGTGCGTCCAGAGCCTGTGCTGCGCAACGGGAGAGGCCACAACAGTGAGAGGCCCGCGTACCGCAAAAAAAAAAAAGAAAAAAAACCTTTAGTAACGGGATTGGTGATAATTGAAATAAGATTGGCAAAATGTTTGTTATATTTAAGCTCAATGATGGAGTTCATTTTACTATTTCCTCTGCTTTTGAGTATATTTGAAATATTCCAAAAGAAAAATAATCCGTATTTGGCTGAACAGTCCCAAGAGGCAGATGTTAAGTCACAAAGAATGAGCTTAGATTGAGCTGAAGTTTTTTGCCTACCTCAGATCATTAGATGGACTTAATTTTTATTTATGTCAAACTACAGTTTTTCTGGGACATAGTGTGGTTAAAGGGAAGCAGAAGAAATTAAGGCTGGATGAATCATGAAGTCATACTAGAAAGCTCTGAATTTCAGTATGAGTTTGTAGGCTAAAGGTTTTTGAGCCAATGTTTTAGGAAAACTGGGGAGCAGTATATGTTTGGTGATTAAAATAGGGAAGATCTAAGTGAGGGATCATAGTAAAAAGCTGTTTATTACTATAGTGGAAGCCAGTGGTCAGGAGGATCTGAAAGGAGGAGGAATGAAAATGGACTGGAACTCTAATAGGATTGACAGCAGACTGAATCTATCTAGGGAGTCAGCCATCTCCATGATTCAGATCGGGTTAACTGGGAGGGTGGCAAATTGATTCACATAGTAGTGAGAACAGGAAGATGAGAAGGTCAAAGAGAGATTTTAACTTCACTGAATTTGTAGTATCAATGAAACATCCAGGTGGTGATATCCAGAAGTAGCTGGGAATGTACGACAGAGTGAAGAAGAGGGGACGCCAACCAAAGAAAAAGTTGACAGTTGAAACTACTGAAATGGGTGTAATCTAGGGAGAGAACAAAAAGGCAGAGAAACTAATGAAAAAACCATGGGAACGTTTGCATACAAGGGACAGATATAGGTGGGGAAAAAGGAAAGCAGAGATGATCAGAGCCAAATTAGTACAGTGCTGTGAAAACCGAGGAAGACAAGGTTTTAAAGGAGAAGAAGGAAGGGAATTAAGATTTTAGCAAAGGATAATTGATAGAGCAGAGTCCTGAAGGGGACAGGGAGTAGGATCCAAAGTACAAGGGATACTTCCTCCTCTAAGATGGCTTAATCCTGAAAGTGACTGGCAGGGAGGAGAGGTGGCTTTTCTTACTGATCTTCAGTAAATAAGGTGATGTCATCTACAGAATAAAAGAGAGTAGGAAGGGTGGGTTTCAGGGGAATAAGAAAGGTTTGAAGCTGGTGTTTGGAGACTTAGTTGTTTAGAGACCAATCAAAAGAATGCTAAAGCGGCACTGAAAGCCTTGCTCTAGATAGATGGTATAACTCGGGAGTTGTATCCAGGTGATAAGCTCAGGAGCAGGAAAGGGAGATAAGGGGCTAGCAAAGCTGGGGATCAGAAAGACAAGTAGATGGTAGAAGAGGAAAGGGCTGGGGCAAAAGAATAAAAAAGCTTGATGTGAACACCACTGAAGTCTTGAACTGAGGTTGGGGAGAAAAGCAAGTGGTATCAGGAGACCAGCTGGACCATGAGAGCAAAGGAGGAATGACTGGACATGGAAACTACCTCAAAACAGATTCAGTTAGCAGATAGGATTGTTATTTAGGATGTGGCCTTAAGACCTTTGGAAAGCAAAGACCCCGTCTCACCTTTCTGTAACTCCTACAGAAAGGGTTGGCTTAGGTAAGTACTGTTTTGGAGAGGGTAGGGAAAAAATAGAGCCTTTAAAAGATACACCTAGAATATCCCTAGAAGAATACATCAGAAGCTCTGATTGCCTCAGGAAAGGGACAATACGTCTGGGAGATAGAGGTGGAAGGGAGATTTCTCACTGTACATCTTTCTATACTTTTTGAATTTTGAACTAATTGGTGTAGCACCTATTAGAAAATAAAATGAAAACTTAAGATATTGTTGATATAGATAGAGATAGTAAACAGCTTGTTTAACTTTTAAAGCCTTCCTATTATGCATTCCTTATTCTTTCTGGTCCTGAAAAAGATTAGTTTGATGGGTAGGGCTAATGAAAAGAATCTGTAAGAGTCCACTATTCATAATAGTATTGGGGTGGCCAAAAAGTTTGTTCAGTTTTAAGTGAAAATAAAAGACATTTTTCATTTTCACCAAGACTTTTATTGAACAGTGTATTCACTAACAGAACAAACTTTTTGGCCAACCCAGTATTTTGCTAAGTTTATTTCAAGCATTGGTCTCTTAATTTGAATCATTCACCATACAGCTTGTAATCCCTGGTGCATTTTACAATTTCCCTCAATATAATCACAGTTTCCCATCATTTTAAGCCTGATTTAACCGTTAATAAAATCCTTTTCAATAGATCTCACTCTGCTCACTTCAGTTCAAACTGAGGAATAATGTCTTTTAAACCTAGGAAGGAATGGTAAACAATTAGGAGTTAGCAGCTTGACACCCTCCTCAGGATTTTCATGTCATCATTTGGTTTGATAAGGTAAACATTTCCAGGACATCGGAGCAGTCAGGGTTTAAGAATCAGTACACTGATGTATCCATAAACCCGTAAGATATTTTAGAGGTTTCACTATTACTTTTCCATTAGTTAAGTAAGTAATCATGAATTGATGGCAGTTACACTTAGTGAACTTAGGTAATTTTTACTGCAGTAATTTACATGTTTCCCTTTTAATATCTTAAAACAGGTGTGAAGATCACATCTACACTGCAAGTGTTGAAGCTTATCAAGCAGGCTGGTGACCGAGTCCTGGTATATTATGAAAGGCCTGTTGGCCAGAGTAACCAGGGTGCGGTGCTGCAAGATAACTTTGGACAGCTGGAAGACAACTTTCTGTCAGGCCCATGCCAACCAAACTATGAAGAGGAAACAAGTGGGTTGGCAGTAGATGCTGAAAACAGAGACCTGGATTCTGAATTTGAAGACTTAGCAAGTGATGTGAGAGCACAAACTGAGGTCAAAGATGAGGCACAGTCATTAAGTCACAGTCCCAAACGTACTCCAACAACACTTTCTGTTAAACCCCTTGGAACTATATCACCAGTTTTAAACCGTAAATTAGTTGTAGGAAGTTACCCACCACCCCCAAAACTTCCATCCAAAGAAGGAAATAAGCCCTTGGACCTAAAATCTTCTGAGATAACAGAACCAGCACAAGTGTCAAAACCCACCCAAGGATCCACTTTCAAACCACCTGTGCCACCACGACCACAAGTCAAAGTTCCTTTACCTTCTGCTGATGCCCCAAATCAGGCAGAACCAGATATTCTCGTTGAAAAGCCAGAGAAGGTGCTGCCAGCGCCTGCTGCAGATAAACCTGCTGAAAAGCAAGCGAAAAATCCGGATCACGTAGAAGAAGCAGCTGCAGCTAAGCAGTTTTTAGCAAAGCAAGAAGTGGCAAGAGATTTGACTTCAGAAAGTTCCTGCCCTCCTAAGGACAGTTCAGATGACCATCAAACGTGGGAATCATCAGAAATTCTTTATCGTGATAAGCTCGGAAAATGGACAAGAACCAGAGCCAGCTGTCTCTTTGACATAGAAGCCTGCCACAGGTACTTAAACATCGCACTGTGGTGCAGGGATCCTTTCAAATTAGGGGGTCTCATCTGTTTGGGGCATGTCAGCTTAAAACTTGAAGAGGTGGCTTTAGGATGCTTAGCTACATCGAACATGGAATACCTTTCCAAATTCAGACTGGAAGCCCCATCACCTAAGGCCATGGTCACAAGAACCGCGCTACGTAATCTGAGTATGCAGAAGGGGTTCAATGACAAATTTTGTTTCGGTGATATTACTGTTCACTTCAAATATCTGAAAGAAGGAGAGCCAGACCACCATGCAGTTACTAACTTAGAGAAAGAAAAAGAACTCCATTTGGTCGAAGAGGTTTCTGCCCTACCTAAAGAGGAGCACTTTGTTGGACAGATGGGTTTAACAGAAAATAAACACAGTTTCCAGGATACTCAGTTCCAGAACCCAACTTGGTGTGATTACTGTAAGAAAAAAGTTTGGACTAAAGCTGCTTCCCAGTGTATGTTCTGTGCTTATGTTTGCCATAAAAAATGTCAGGAAAAGTGTCTAGCCGAGACTCCTCTTTGTGGAGCAACTGATCAACGGATAGACCGGGCCCTGAAAAATCTCAGGCTGGAAGGACAAGAAACCCTCTTAGGCCTGCCCCCTCGTGTTGATGCTGAAGCTGGGAAGTCAGTCAACAGAACAACAGGTTTGACAAGACATATTATCAATACGAGCTCTCGTTTGTTAAATCTCCGTCAAGTCTCTAAAACTCGCCTTTCTGAGCCAGGAACTGATCTAGTAGAACCTTCACCAAAACACACACCCAACACATCAGACAACGAAGGCAGTGACACAGAGATGTGTGGCCCAAACAGCCCTTCTAAACGGGGCAACAACACAGGAATAAAATTAGTGAGAAAGGAGGGTGGTCTGGATGACAGCGTTTTCATTGCAGTTAAAGAAATTGGTCGTGATCTGTACAGGGGGTTGCCTACAGAGGAGAGGATCCAGAAACTAGAGTTCATGCTAGATAAGCTGCAGAATGAAATTGATCAGGAGTTGGAACATAATAATTCCCTTGTTAGAGAAGAAAAAGAGACAACAGATACAAGGAAAAAATCACTTCTTTCTGCTGCTTTGGCTAAATCAGGTGAAAGACTGCAAGCTCTAACACTTCTTATGATCCACTACAGGGCAGGCATTGAAGATATTGAATCTTTAGAAAGTCTGTCCTTAGACCAGCACTCCAAAAAAATAAGCAAGTACACAGATGATACGGAAGAAGACCTTGATAGTGAAATAACCCAACTAATAGACTCAGCCATTCAGTAGCATATCAGATGACTTATTTGGCCCATCTGAGTCTGTGTAACAGTCTGTTTAAACTTTCAAGTGATTGAGGAAAAGTTGCATCTGAAGTACCACAGATATAACCACATTTAAACCCTCTTATTATGCACTTTGGCCTGCTTCTTCACAGTTATTTGCTTGTGTAAGAACTAGAGTGGAAAAGGTGGTTTTCCAGCAAAAACATGACCAGCTCACTAAATTGGTTGTTTCAGATTGCATTTATAGCTATGCTTTTTGGGTTTATACTGGGAATTTATTTTTACTAATTTATTTTTAACTTTTTCTAATTATGTAATTATGTAAGCTGACTTTTCGTGTTTATGTAGGTGTGATGTCTCATTGTGTTATTTTTCCTTCCTCTTCCTAGTTTTTGAATTAGTGTTAAATAGGATACTGTCCAGATTCTTTAAATATTTTCATTTCCATCAGTTATAACAACAAATTTGCTGCATGCCCAAACTGACAACAGCAATCATTGAGGGAACAGGTTTTGAATCTTACTTTGTGTTATGAAGTTTGTCATATCTACTTGCTTGAGATTTTTGTTATTTTGGGGTTTGGGGGACTGCTTTTTGTTTTGATTTTGCCAAATGTGACATGAAAGCAGATGCCGCAGCTTTAGCTAGTTATGCTGATTTAGTAAAAAAAAAAAAAAGTTTTACATATATTGCTTGTTTTTTATGCTTTTATGAAATTTTTTTCTAAAGCTTATGTGCAGTTTAAGTATAGTGAGAATATAGTGATTAATCTGAAGAGCTTGCATTGAAAAACAAAATGCAACAGCGAATAAATACAGAATGCAGTTGGTCAAGGATTTTGAGAGGATGACCAGATTACTAAAACAAACAAACAAAAACAGTAACCAGTAGGATTTTGAAATATAAGCTTTCAAAATGTTGACACTTGCCTTTCAAATGGAAGTACTAAACATTTATGATTATTTTTCATCTTCAGTTCTCCCACAGGAAATAAAGCATGTAGATATTTGAAGTTTCAGAGGACTGTTCTTAAAATGACCTTGTTGATATCTGGTTTGGCTGTTTTGTTTTATAAAAATAGTCATGCATGAGAATGCTGTAAGGGAGAGGAATCGTGCAAAATAGATTTAGTGCTTTGTCTGACATCCTACAGGCTTATCCTATGTATCATCCTACAGGCTGATCGTTCTGAATGCTTCTGTAGTTCAGACTGTCTTATTAAAAAAAAAAAAATTACACAGCATCAATACACATGACTGAGGGAAAACGTGAGCATGCCCTCTGTTGGTATACCATAAAAGTTTTGGCCTTTTATATGTCTATAAAGTAGATATGTACATGTTTTTCCCTTTTGTAGGTAACTACTATGATAATTGCTATATAGTGAAACTGACATGAATTTAAAATTAGATGGCAGTTTTTATGGCTGGCAGGAAAAGGCATATAGTATAATAGTAAGGATTCTGGCCCAGGTCTATAACCCAGGACTCCATACAGGAGTTTAAGTTCAAGCTCTTCTGTTGGCCATTAGTGAACTGTGTAACCATAGGCAAGCCACGAAAGGGCTCCAGGCTGCAGGCTCCCCAGCTGTAAAGTAGGAATAAACAAAATTTATTCCACCTCACAGGATTGTTGTGAGGAAAACAACAGTATGACTGCAGAAGTTCTCTGAACAGTAACAAGCTATTGAAATAAAAGGGTTATATGAATGATAAAAACATATTTTTATGGGTAGAAAAGCCATTCCACTTTTAAAATCAATAGCCAGTTCTCATTCTTCCTATTTTAAGTAAAATATTAGGAAACTAAATACCTTTCTTGGCCAAGTTTATAACGAAAATATATCTGTGTATACCCCCCATTTTTGTTTAAACATGCTTGCATTTTAACACTGCTGTCGAAGTCTTTATGCACCAAATACACTGAAAGCTAAAATGTTGTTCTGTAACAATAGCTTGAAACAATCTTCCCAATATAATAACCAACTGTCATCTTAAAAAAAATCACTTACCACTGACAACCTGGAAGGCAGAGTAAGTGGCTGGTGGTTTTGGATTATACCATGAAGTTTTAGTGACATCCAAGCATGCTGCTGAAACTGATGCATTTGAAAGAGCTGTAGAAATAATGCAAAATTTCGGTTTCATAAAAATCTACTCATGTTTTAAAAGTATTTAACTCTGGGGCTTCCCTGGTGGCGCAGTGGTTGAGAGTCCGCCTGCCGATGCAGGGGACGTGGGTTCGTGCCCCGGTCCGGGAAGATCCCACATGCCGCGGAGCGGCTGGGCCCGTGAGCCATGGCCGCTGAGCCTGCACGTCCGGAGAGGGAGAGGCCACAACAGTGAGAGGCCCACATACCGCAAAAAAAAAAAAAAAAAAAAAAGTATTTAACTCTGTAGAACCACAATTATGGAAAGCTCAGTAATGCTGCTAATGATATTTGTAAAATATACCTTCAGTGTAGTGCAATATTTTTCTATTTACTGGGAGAGGCAGTAGAGGCATCACAGTTGTAGTTTCGTGCAAGGGGGTGGCGGGGGGGGGGGGGGGGGGACACTCCAATAGCCTAAGGAATAGTAAGGGATAAGGCTTCAGTGGGGTGGCGGGGGGGGGGGCGGTGGGACACTCCAATAGCCTAAGGAATAGTAAGGTATAAGGCTTCAGTGAAAACAGTTGTATTATATCACATTCCTGATGTAATCTTTCTGCCATGCTATGTTATCAATAGCTAAAAAATAATATTAAATAAAAACTACCACAGAAAACAAAATATCTTCATTTGATGTCATCTGAAAAAGGTGACTGCTGCATCTCTATGGAATTATTGCCTGGTATAATTGGGCCACAAAGTTTAACAAAGTCCGCTTTTGCTAAACAAAATTGCTATTCTGAAAATTGTCTAAAAGCATTAAATTTTGGTTTTACTATTTTTTTATGCTGTGAAAATCAGATTTATGGATTTGCCTCTGCTATCTAATAGTAATTGGACTAAAGTGTATTTGCTACGTTGGTATTTAGATGAATTATTAGGTTAGACAGTCAGGCTGAGCAATATTTTAGCATTTAGAATCAATTCATATGCTACATTTCTTAATATCAGACCTTACATTCTTCAGTATCAGAACTAGTTAAAATACTATGAGGCCATTTTGTGAATTTGAGAGGAGAAAACACATGCTAAAAATCTGAAGGTACTGTCAATTTAAGTATTTTTGAATTTTTTTGAAAGGCAGTTTGAAGGTATTTGGCTCTTACTAATAGTAAGATAATAAAATCTCAAGTCCCCTAAAAGTGAATAAATTTAAAATCACTTTAATTTTAAAATGTATTGAGTTTATTTCTAAATTGAGAGATAACAGCTTTCCTTTAAAAACGGGTGGGGGAGGTTCCCTTAAGCCTTTTTAAGCCATGGATTCCATTTTAAGATCTGTTTAAAACTATGGATTCTCACCCCTGAAAGGTGCACACATGCGCACCCTAAGTTTTATGGAACTTCCAGGGGCCGTGGACCTACTGTGTCAAGTGGCTGCATATCATAGTTATTTTCATCAGATATAGTTATTTGTTCGTAGCAATCAGGAAAACAATATAACTTTAGAGATGCAAGGATAACTTACTGGTTGGTTCCACACTGACACCATGTGGCTAGTTACATACTTCAAATTAAAACAGATTTTGCAAAGCCAAAAAGTATGGTTCAAACTAGTCTGGAGTAGATTTTACCTGATGCCTGCAAGCAAAGAAGAATAGTTTTTAATTGAATACCCACAGTTAAAACAGTACCTTCTTACATATTTTATTCCAATGATAATATCTGGTTAACAAAGGAATACAACAGGCACAGTAGTGTTCAGAAGATTTATTAAGTAAACTAGCTAAAACATGACGTAGGTGGATACACTTAGCAGTCAAAAGAAAGAATTGAATATTCATCACTACCTCATTAAGCTTTTTGTATCTGTTTTGCCAGGTACAAACATAAACACCTCTGCTCAAAAAATAAATGTTCAGAGAGCTGTGTGTTCTTTGTTCTGATACACACATTAAAAAAAAAAAAAAAAAGCTTTTCTTTCCAGTCTTGCCAATCCCAGAATACTAGTCATATAAAAGACCTTACAGGGCTTCCCTGGTGGCACAGTGGTTGAGAGTCTGCCTGCCGATGCAGGGGACACGGGTTCGTGCCCCGGTCTGGGAAGATCCCACATGCCGCAGAGCGGCTGGGCCCGTGAGCCATGGCCGCTGGGCCTGCGCGTCTGGAGCCTGTGCTCCGCGGCGGGAGAGGCCACAACAGTGAGAGGCCCGCGTACCGCAAAAAAAAAAAAAAAAAAAAAAAAAAAAAAGACCTTACAATTTTCTTCTCCTTCAGATAACAGTTCTGAAAAATATATATCTTTCATATGATCTCTAGGGATCACCAGCAGACATGGCTGCCAGTCATTCTTGAAGAGACTGAAACCTTGCAGGCAGAAATAAAAGAGGGATAAGTTACATGGTATTGGGAGTGAGGAGAACCACAAACCCCGCAAGAGAATTGATTTGCAGCACATTCTTTTTTAAGGCTCTACCGTACAGAAGTAGAGAACAGTCCTGCCTTTTTACTTTAGCCATAGAAGTGCCTCCAGCAAAGCAGAGTTGCCCAATGCAAATACACGAGTAGGACACTTGTTTGCTTCCAAGACATGCACTTGAAAACCAGACTTCAGATCAAAGCCCCACAAAAAAAGCTTCATAAAGAAAATGGGAAGTTATTAGCTACTTTCTTAGAGAATTATAAGGTTGAGGGGTCCTTCCAAGTTAACAGGAGCACGATTTTAGCCTAACAAAGAACTGACATTAAGTAGTTTTTGTTTACGATTACAGAACTACAGAATGAACAAGTGTTATTTGAGACATTCCACACTATCTTCATATCTCATACAAAACTCGATGTAAACTAACAATGTTCACTAACACAGTACTTGCTATCACATCGAAAAGGCACATCAATGTCGTCATGCTTAGAAAAACTACATCACACAGCACTAGGTGATACAGTATTACATAGACATTTTTAGATGTTTGGGTTTTTTCCTGCCTGTGAAAGGGGGTGTGCCCTGACCACCCTATTATTTTTACCTGTTTTCCTAACACGATTCAAGACAATTTCATTCCTTCTTCATCTTCATGTAAAATTTGTTTTCACATTGATGTGAACAACGTTCAGAAGTCTAAAAAATAATAG